ATAAACAGTGCTGGTGCTGCACTGCTTCCCCCTCCTGAGACGCCGGATGGTGGACCAGAATCGCCTCGAAGCCACGCAGAAGTCTTTCTCCATGGCCTCTCCAAACTCCTCCCACGCCCAGGTTTTTGCCTCAGCTACCACCCGAGCCACATGCCACTTCACCCGCCGGTACCCATCAGCTGCTTCRGGAGTCCCATAAATAAATAAATATAAATGTGTACATGGAAATGTATAAGTTACATCTTAAATGTTAAAGATAAATGTAGAAGTCTTTGCTGTTGGCTCATGTTATGACATCAACATCCTTAGTCAATAGCAATCGCTAGAGCTCTAACTCTGCTAACACTTCCCTACAAAACATCAAACTCACAGTTCCAGCCGAAGTCCAAGCTATGCTTCAAACTGTTGGACCACAGGTACCATCCGTACTGTTTTCAATAAACACATTTTGAATTTACATTTTAAATACCATTTTCATCAGTTAGAAGCATTAGCTAACCAGGACATCAACAATAGCCGCTGCTAACTCTGCTAACTCTGATAACGGTGCTGAAGAACAGGGAACTAAATGACAATAAAATGTTAGTGGAAAATTTTTAACATAGAAAATGAGCTAAAATATGTAAAATGTGTTCCTGACGTCTTTTAACATTTTATTTTACATATAACTTGGTGCCCAAACTGAGTTTCTCACCCTGGGAATGTCATATCCCATCAGCTCTGTGTCTTTAGTGGAGCAGTGGAAGACACTGAGAGGAACAGTGTTGGCAACCCTCTGGACTTCATGGATCACAGCCTGGATTACAATAGAGATATTACAAACTATCTGCCATATAATGCAGGGAAATTAATTTAGGAACCTTATAGAAAAAAAACAGAAAAGTTGCAGTTTAGCTGATAAAAACACGTCAAACAGGAAAAATAGCTAAATTTTGATCTGAGTGTCACATTCAGAAATGCCTCTCAGATTAACCATTCAGATTAACAGAACAGGTGTGTGTGATGATGCTCATCACCTGCACGTAAGGCATGTTGTGTCTGTCCTCAAAACTGACCCGATCCCTCCCATCCAGAACCTGATCGATCTCCTGCTGACATCGATCTGAGGGGACAGAAATGGTTTTACACATTTTACCTGTAAATAAGTCTCTTTACTTCAGAGCAGCCTGAATGTGTTGTAGTCTTTTAAAGTCGTTTTAACCAACATTTTTTTTTCTAAAAGTTTGAGAACTTTGATAACTTCTTCACTCAGTTTCAGTCCTTTTGTTTGACCTACGAGTCCTTCAGGCATTAAAAAGCTCCTAAACTCTCACACAGCTTTCAGCTTTGGTGTGCCAGTCAAGGTTATAATAGTTTTGGATTTTTCATTCATTATAGTTTAGCTTTATTTTGTTGTGACTTATTTCTTTTAATTCAGTTTTAATTAGTTTTACAGTGAATTTGCTAGTTTTATTAGTTATTATTGCATTTTTAATGCTTAGTTTTAGTTTAGTTTTTATTAGTTGTAGGATTCGGTTTTTTTAGTTTGAATAAACACATTTATCAATGCATCCTCCAGCTTGTGATGTTCCTGTGAGTTAACTAACCAACAGATATTTGGTCACTAGTTGAAGCCTCCATTATAGCAACATCTTACTAAAAAATAATTGCATAACTTAATTTTACCAACTAAAAACTTGGGTGGTTATTTTAGGAGGATGACAATAGTAAAGTAAAGTAAATTAAAGTTTATTTATATAGCGCCTTTCACAGAAAAGGATTTCACAAGGTGCTGTAC